GCAAACATTTAAAAAACAAACTAGAATCTTTAAAAAAATATTTTAAACTAAGCATCTAACAGATCATAACTCAAAATTGACCTCAAATCAGAGACTAATTTAAGAGAGTGCTTCATATACATTGGAATTTAAAAATACTGGAATTTTTATTTGTTAACGCTTAAATTTTCAGTCCACAACTTATTTTCAGCAACAACAAAACATTTCACATTAATTAAATTCAAACATTTTTATAAAAAAATCGATAACATCAGCCATTTCTTCAAATAACATACTGATCTACTAATTATTTTTCTAAAATCACGATAATTATATATATAGAATGTCAAACAAGGCAAATAAATGATTTCATTCCAAATTGTAATAATCATAGCAATTTATTCAGGAATTAAATTTAAATAAAAAAAAATTAGAAACAAATTTACAAATCAATTCTAATGCAAATAACCACTGTCGTTTTCAACTATTAAAAACAGATATTCCAAATAAAAAAAAAAACTGAGTCTTCCACACAACATGTCATTACAGTTCCAACCAATATCACTATGGTTTTCAAGTTTAAGATGTTTTTAATACAAAATGACCTTATCAGCTCTGTCATTAAAAAAATCTATTAATATATAATAAGAATTAACATAATTTACTTTTAGAAACTCTTTCCCGCCATTAGCATTAAATACACCCTATTTATAGTAATTCTTTATCAAAAAAAATATCTAACATTAATGATGCAAATAACTTCCTTAATAATCGCATGGAAACAAACAATTTACTCCCTTAAATATCACATGCTAAGATTTATATCTAATTTCTTTCCGATTCTTCCAAATAAAATAGATTATGCATGGAATCATCCAATTTACCAACTATTTTTATAATTTTTCCGAATAAATAAGATTAAGGCCGGTTGAACATGGTATAATATCATTTAATTCACTAATTTAATATAATTTTGCCAAATGATATAATATCGGTTGTACATGGTATAATATAAATTAATAATTTAATAATTCTGCCAAATAATATAATAATATATTATAAACTTAATAATATAATAATATAGCTCTTTCAAATAAAATCGGTTGTACATGGTATCAATTCTATATCTTTATGTATAAAATAAGATTAGACTTAAATTATTTTAGTAATCTTTTCCCGTCATGCGTTAATTATTACCTAATTTTAGTATTCCTTGACAATTCGGGATAGCATATCTCGGCACATTAATTGTCAAATGATATGGAATAATTGATTTAATAGTTGATGGATTCAATTCCCGGTTTTTATGGAATCAAATATCGGGTGTATACACGTTTCAAATAATTTAATAATATAATAATAGGCTGAATGATTTATGCGTCGGATTCATGCAAAGAAAATTTTGAACAGATTTCTAAAATCATGGTTTGTATATATCATCTATTCATCAATTGAATTTTTTTCTACATTATCGGTTTGAAAAGGAAAACAAATTTTATATACCTTATCGGTTTTGATAATACAAATGTTATAACCATTGTCATTATTTATTTTAAAAGATAATGTATATCATTTATTTGCTTTCAAAAGATGAAATTTTTTTCATAGTTTAGGTCTCTTTTATTTATGCATTTACACAAATTAACTAAACGATTGGCAATAAAATTTGTTATATATTGAATCAAACTAGTAATTAATAAAAAAGTCCATCAATCACGAAATTAAATAATTAACAAACGATCACTACATTTAAAAGATTAAATTTTTGAGATAAATATTCATTTATATTGTCACGACGATAAACAAGGGTGAGTGTCAGTCTTTATCGCATGTTTGCATACTTTTAAAAAAACATGTTTTTAGTTACGACCACTTATATATTGCAATTTCCGTTGATACAAATAGAAAATGGTTGATAATATTAATTTGTGGGAATAACAAGTTCCTCAATAATCAAACTAATATTATTTTTTACAATTAGGTTTTTAATAACACGTGATTTTTTCAGACCCAAACATTTTATGAGCATTTTCCGCCCAAAATATTAATTACCAGCTATAGATGGAAATATTATAATATGATATAACTAAAAAATAAATTATTAATTGCATAATTTTCATATAACTCAGCTTTCGGTTTGTGTTTGTTTTAGTCAATTCTTGGTTTCCTTTAAATACATTGATAGTGGTTTTGTAGGCAAAGATTATGTAAATAATTATATGTAGCCGATTTTGAAATTCTCATTTATCGAGGATTCTTTTTTTTAATAACAAATTTATTAGAATCGTTGATATGGATTAGCATATATGTTACATACACAAAAAAATAATTTTATAGTAATATTTAAATTTACATGGCGTCAATTTTGGAATTCTCATTTGTGAGGATTCTTATTTATTTTATCATATTTATTAGAACCGAAAATTTGGATTGACATTTATATACACAAAATATAAAGTTATATTAATATTTAAATATGTTTTACATTGTAGCATATTTTGAAAATGAACGATTTTATATGAGACATATTTTTTTTTTTTTTGAGACATAAACTAATCCCTTAATTGGTATTCTTTTTGTCAATTGTTTTTAAAAGGAAAATTTTCAAAATTTTGTATAGTAAATCGATTTTTCGTTTTCGTATGCACAAAATATAAATCTATATATGCATATATATATATATATATAATGCATAAAAAATTGTCACACATATAATAGGAAAGTTATCCAACTAAAAGTTGTTCAGCTTGAAAATATATATAAAAAGTTCTCA